TGGCTGCAGGCATAGTTTGAAATGTCATTCACCAAGTCACATTTATGATCATCATACATTGAGGCTGTCAGACCATATAATCATTGCTAGAATTGTTTCCAATCCACAAAGGAAATAAAGTGTCACTATCTTTGGGACACTACAAAATGGGAGTTAATGAACTGGAGCTTTCAGTCCGCATAACCTTAAGTCCAAATTCCTTAATTGTAGGTTACAGTATTTAAACAACCGTCAGCATTAGCAATAGATGTAGCTGTCCTCTTCCCTATGGACCACCTTAGGTATTAAGATTGGTAGAAATGGTTTCAGAGGCTCAGGAGTGGTGGTCTGGGAGACAGCATTCTCTGTGGCAACTTCTAAATTGTGGAACTCCCTCTCCATAAAGGTGTGTCTGGCATCTTAAATAAAGTCTATTAGTTTTAATGGGTGTACTCTGCGTATGTCTAACACTTGGGACAGCCCACTGGGCTTCAGACACATCACCATTTTAGGAAGTTCCTGAAATTATTCTAAAGACCAAATCAAAAACAGTGAGGTTGTGGTGGGGTTGTGGATGTGGTTGGGGAAATGTGTCTCCACCATAACTGTTTAATTATTCTGTGCATATTGGCAAATCATAAATGAGTCCAGCAAGTTATACAGCACCAGTGTAGGGTTGGGATATATCAAAATGTTATTCAGAAATATCAAACACCCAGCAAATTTTGGATAAGAAATTCTCAGGGGCAAAACTATGTCTGCTTGGAATTATTCAATCATGATTCAAACCCTGCAGCAAAAAGCCCACTGCACAAATGTTTAATTCTTACTGCAGTGTCTTGAAAGTGAGCATATTATTGTCAAGATGGTTGGATCGCTGGTTTTTACGTAAGAACTGTTTATTTCATTGTGCCACTGACTCAGTTCAGTCATATTGTTCTGGCTTCACTCAAAACCCAGTCCATTCATTCCATCAATTGAAAATATTGCCTGGACCCTGCACATTGGGCAAGATTAAGCTATACAGCAGCATCTCGTGGGAGAACCTATTGCATTCCTGGTAGCCCCATTACAACTCATGTAGCATGCTTTGCAAAAAAATATTTTAAACTCATTAGAGACTAACCATGGCCACAGTAAATGCATTTTTATTGTGAAAAGTTGAGTGTGAGGGTTTTTTTTTCTTTTAAGTGTTTGAAAGAGACTTGAAAATGGATGCTAACACTTACTGTGCACTATAGGGGATAAAAAGGCATACATTTTTTAAAAAGCTTAGCTTGCACATTTGGTACAAGGAAAGAAAAACTATATAATCTAAATGTAAATGGGCTGACGAGCTACATTTTGCTACTGTAGTTAAAACAACACCACAACACCCTGTAACTTTCATGGTGTATTTTCTGCATTGTTTATCTTCAGTGAGCATAAGCAAAGCTAACGTGACTGCGTGCCTCAGATAGGATGATGAAATAAAGGAGGTGAGCTACACAGAATAAATATGTATGGAATGATCAGCAGAAGAGCTTTAACCCTTTGCATTATCCCCAGTGAAATTCTGCTTCTGATCAGAAAGATGGTTCATTACATGATCCAACCAAAGTGAGGCATTTTTAAATACCTTTGGTTTCAATGAGAAAAAATTAAGTACACGTTTACTTTGCCCATTTAAGTTAATAGGACTCCAGTATGCTTTATTTTGATTGGATCATGTCCATTGATAGACACATATAAGTGTCTGCAGTGTCCTTAGTGATTTATGGGGAAAGGAGCAGCAATTATTAAAAATTCGTGTAATTACTCCCTGCAAAGGCAACACTATATCTGTTCATATTAGCTGACAGAATAAGTTGTGGTTCTCAACCTCTCAGAGGAGATACATTTGTCTGGTGCCACAGATGGCTTAAGCTGAATGGGAACTTCAAGGAACATTTGACGCTTAAGCTGTATTTGTCTGTCTTAATTTCTGTTCCTTCTGCTATTTCTCCCTTTGTGCTTAGTATATACCTATTTTACTGGAACTCTGGGGAATACATCAACAGATATTGGATCTCGCTGCATACAGAAGAGCTGTACCTTTGTCCTGCATAAAATTTGTAATTTCCATCTGTAAAAAACTGTGGAATTCACACGTTCATGTGTGCTCATCTAATCCCTCGCTCTGTAATTTCCTCTCTCCTTCTTGCAAATCCTCTTTAAAAATATTCAAAAATCTACTTTGAAGTATATGGGAGTTTTCTTCCAGAGTATTATTTATTCAAACATTTATTGCTAAATCTTTCTCTCTCTCTCTCTATTGCAAACTTTCCCTCTCAAGTTGCCTAGTCACCGCTTGGAAGGATGACACTTATATGGCTGTGTTTCATGTCATGTCATCCATCACCATTTTTGCATACAGTTTGCAAGGAGATACATAGTTTGGGCCTTGCTGGGGCTGCAGTCTTAACTCCACTTACCAGAGAGCAAGACCCACTGAATTTAATATGACTTATTACTTAGAAGACATTCCACTGAGATTCAGTCACTCATTCTTGTTCAATGTTTGTTCTTTGTTCTTTCCTTTATTATATGATATGGTAAAGCTTGGTTATGTCAATTACTGTTATTACATAACTGATTTCATGTTTAGAGTTAACCGAAACTCCATAAAAATTCATACCGAAAAAGAGTAATTTTTGGACCAAAGAATGCTTCTGTGCTAATGTGACACTTTTCTCAAAACACCCTGGGAATCCAAGACAAGTGTGTTTCACATTCAGTTCAGAGAGACAGACTAAGAGTCTCATTAAAGAGAGACTAGGTAAGCATATGGAAAAGTAATGTCTGACAGTGTCAAAGCAACACATCATTTGCAAGGGGAAATTCTGCTTTTCTAGCCTAATCAAGTTCTTTGTATTGAAATAAAGCTAATCAAAGGAGATAAAGCCACATGCTGTAGTTGGGAGATTCATAAAGCTTATGATAAGGTTCTCCATAAAAGACTACAAAGAAAAGGAATGCTTACAAGGTACAGACTTCCGGGGTGGCGCCATCGGCAATGGAGGACTCCCTCTGAACTGGAGGGACTAGCTCCGTGGGAAACAGGTCTTCTCCGCTACGGCGAAGCGGGGACCCTTTTAAAAATCACAGGCGGATGAAGCCTGTGACCATGGGACTCGGCGGGCACCTTTAGCGCCCCCCCAACTCGCTAAGGAACCCACTAACGGGCTCCGAAGTGAAGAGGGGAAGCGGCGCAGTGCTGTGAGTCAACTGCTATTTCCGTGGAGCGAAGCCGCATAGCCGTTGCCGGAGAGCGCTGCCTTTTTCCTGGGACAATTTGGACTCTAAAATAAGCACCCGTGAGTACTTAGACTTTGAACAACTGGACATTAAATGGGGACTTGTGAGCAGAAAGGAATTGGATCTTAAAAATCTATTTTAATTTGGTACAGAACAGGAAGGTCTAAACAGGAAGTCAGCCTTCCGTTCTTTTGTAGACAGAACAAAGCAAAGACAACGTAAACTAGAGCTCAGAAAATCGCCTTTAAAGGATTGGATTTCATCATTTAAAACTGTGGAACCCCCCTTCGACAGCAGGAGAAGAAGGGGGATCTTTTTCGGACTGTTTAAAGTGAGTCTAAAGTAAAGCAACTTTCCTCCGTCCTGATCCTGGAGCGGGGTGTCAGGACTGACGTTTGAAGTTCATTGACCAAAGACAAACGTTTTTGACAGATAGCTAAAAGAATGAGAAACATAGTGATTCCACTGTTCCCCTTCGCATTTTAAAGGAATAAATATTGACAAAGTATCTCAAAAAGGGAAACTTTGTTGCAAGAACAAATAGAAGTTTTTCCCCTAGAGGGAGACTGTGAAACTGTAACCAACTCCAGGGAGCCGGCAGCTGTTACAGATTACAATCGTGGGAATAGGCATTTGACCTTGCAGGACAATGTATTCAGAAGCTTTGTTGTGTGCTTTCTGTAAAACAAATGCCCTACTGGAACAGTTACATGAGAAGGTGAATTTGATTGCGACTTCGACTAGAAACTTTGAACAGGCAGTGGGAAATTTTGAACAGACAGTGGGAAAATATGTGGAGCCCACCCAGGAATTAAATCAGGAGTGTGTCCTGACAGAACAGGCCCAACAGGAATATGAGTTTTCGGACTTGACAAATGAACTTGGAAAAAGCCAGATTTGGAAAGAAAAAGTTTGGTTTGGCTTGGAAATGGGGTGCTGGATTGACCCCCCCAATGCTGTGATGTTTGGACTTCTCAAATCTGGCAATGGGCCGTGAGATGTTTGGGATTGTGGGGGCTCTTAATTTTGGAGGGTCTTTGAAACATGCTTTTAAATACCACATGGAATTCAGTGCTGAATATGGAAAAGGGGCTGATCTGTCGAGAAGGGTTAAAAATATTGCCAAGCTGGAGTTACCACGAGCAGGAGACAAGGGAAAATACAGTTACAAATATGAAGAAGAGCTGCGGAAGGGACATGGAAGAGACTTGAGGGCCTCAGATATAAGGTTGCCAGGTTAATGGGCTAGATCGATGGGATAATAAGGACTGACAAAACCCGGAACCAGGAGGAAGGGACGTTGGATGAAGATTGGATCTGTTTGTATTTCTTTTTTCTACCATTAGAACTGTTCTATAAAATTGATGAATGTTAGAAAAATGTTGGAATGAAATTAATCGGCTTTAGTAAAGATGTTTAAAGAATTATGAAAGAATATTATGGTTATGAGAAGTTGGTAAGGATAAGATTTAAGATTTAAGTTTTAAGCTTTAAGGTTTATTTTCTTACAGAAAGATAAGATTAAAACAGTTTAGAGTAATGTAATGACAGAATATTATGAAATATGGAAAGCATTTGCTGGGATAATTAATAACTAGGATACAAAGAAAGGGAGAAGGAGGAGGCCAAAGAAAGACAGAAAGGTAATGACAGTTGAGGATTCGAGAATAATGAATTTGTTTTTAAATGTTCTTAATTGTCTGTGGTGTATTTTTGTATTTTTTTTGTCTCTTTTTCTTATTTTTGAATTTGTATTCATATGGTTGGAAGGGGTTTGTTTGTTTTTATTTTCCTACTTTGTTAACTATTTTTATTTTGTATTCTGCTTTTATTTTACTTTGTAACACTTTGAAAATTTTAATAAATATCTTATAAAAAAAAGGAATGCTCACAAGGTACAGGGCAAACCAGAGTCATGGATGAAAGAGTGGGGACAGGGATTAAAATCTTCTTTGAGAATGAGCACCTTTCTCAGGGCAGAGAGGAAGAGCACTGTTTGTATCTATTTATTTGACAAAGGCTAGATCTACACTGACCCATTTAACATTATTTCCCCCATTAGAGCAATATTAGATATGTTGTTTTAAAATGTCACAAGGCATACTTATTAATTGAAATGTTTTTAACTTTGTATGGTGTCACATTTTAATTCTTACTCCCTCCTTCTGTGTCCTTTGTTATCTGCCCCTTGAATACCATTGGGGGCAGGTCGGGTCAGAGTTTGAATGCAGTAAAAAAAAGAAAGAAAAAAGGTAAAGCGCTACATAGGGACATATGAGCAGTGTTTCACCAATATAGCAGCAAAGAACAATTAAAAATTAAGTGATAAAAAAGACAAGGTAATAGGGCATTATAAACATAAAAAGTAGGACGCCATGTGCCCATCTACGTTATCAAAACCATCCCTTAACCCTTCCTTAACATTAAAAAACCATGAGTGTAGATCTGCCCCAAATGTATATGCTACTTGGTTGTCAACAGGAACTCAGAGTAGTTTGCAAAAAATAAGACAAATATTAAAATTGTCAATAAAATTCAAAACTAGAAAACAGGTATATGGGAAGATCAAAATAGAATTAAAACAAGTTAAGCTGAAAGCAGATTAAAACACATGCCAACTTCTGCATGTCTGGATAGGCTCCATTGGGGGGGGAAAAAGTTTTCAGCAGACACCTACCTGATGTCAATAGGCAGGGATTCCCAAAAGAATGATTTCTTATCAGTGTGGAACTAATGTTTTGTGGCACCAATGGCAGTTCCACATTTTGAAGTGGTCGAGTGGGTGTTTATGGGGTAAGGCAAAGCCTCAGGCAAACTTAGTCTATGGCCCAGTGTTCCACAGAGAAGAGAAGGGGCAGCAGCTAAGTGCAAGAATGATTCATTGCACAGGAATTCTCAATTGTATGGAAGCCAACTTGCCACTGTGTGCCTGCGTATAGTATGTATCTGATATGTGGTTCTATTGCTTGCATTAAGGGGTTACCCCACCACCAGCAGCTTTCCTTTTTAAAAAAACAAAAAATAAATACATATTAATACCTTTTTTGAACACCATACAATATAAAATCACAGAAACCTTGTCTTACTGTGAAAATGAGAGAGGGGAAAGGAAGAAGAAATGCCTGCACTTTGGAAAGCCAAATTATGTAAGTTCACCATAAGCAGAACAAATTATGCAAATTGCATGTATTTTTTGCTGATGCTGCTTGATTGAACAAACCAACTTTAATTAAGCACAGGAACTGGTCAGAGTGAGCCAGAGTGGCAACAGCTTGCTGAAGATGGTGCCATGTATGATGAACAAGGTACTCTGGTGTAAATGCAGAATAATCTATAATGGAAGGGAGAAAGGGTCACACAGATTAAAACACACACCAACTTCTGCATGTCTGGATAGGCTTCTGTTAAAAAAAAAAAAGTTTTCAGCAGACACCTACCGGGGCACACTGGTGACTGATGGGAAGCAGGGAGGAATAGTTGGAGCTGTAAGTAACTGCAACTGCTCCTGCTCAGGGTTCCAGCCAGCCAGCTGTGCCCTTGTCCAGGATACACCATTCTATTTCCCTCCAGTTTTCCACCCCAACAGCCAGTTAGCATCCCATGCCTACTAAGCATACTCCGTCCTCATTTGCCTGTTGTTGCTGTTTTGTGTTTCGCTAAATATCTCCTTTGTGTGTGGATGGATGTTGTTGTTGTTAAATTATATAAAGATCCACACTTGGCAGTGCTGAGTACCAAATGGGCACAACGGATCAAAATAATATTGATTTGATCTTGAAAAAAATTAGAATCAGGCTTACTTAGTTCAGTGTTATCCCACTGTGCATGAGGGCTGCCCCCAACAAAGATTTTGACTGCCTAGGGGCCTCCACAGTTTAATCTGGCACTGGCACTCGGCAAATGAGTTTGCCATAAATAAATCAATAAAATTAGAGTGGACCATGAAACTGGGGAAGGGAACTGTTAGGGTGAGTAAGTCTTGAGCAGCGGAAGCCCTAGTGAGAACCCTTCCTCTTGGAGGCTGAACTGCCTCTTGCCCTGATTCTGGAACTCTAGAGGCCAGCGTATCTGGTGATGCACGCGTGAAAGCCCCTGTGTGTGTACAGCCACTTCCTCATTCATTGCAACTAAGGGGGAAGTTACACAACAGTACAGACAGGGGCTACGAGCCTCTGCAGCCTCTACTGAAGGGAGTAGAAAAGGCTCTATGGGTTTGGGAGCTGCTTTTACATTGAAATTTTTCTGGTTGTAAATTTCTGCATTTATGGTGTTTGTAATGTTGGATTAGTGTGATGTAGTAGGTTGATTATTTTGAAACTGCCTGGGGATCCTAAGGATGAAGGTGATTTAATAAATGAAAATAGTAACTGTAATTATTATTTATTTCAAAACATTTATATACCGCATGATTGCAATAAATGCTAAAAAGCAGCTTATAATAATGATGATAATAATAACAGCGCCATTAATTGCTTTAGGGCTTCATAATTAGGAGGCTTGAAAACAGGCAGAGAGGCAGCGCTTTTAAGCTGAAAGCAAAATTCTATCACTCATGATTTGATCTTAGTTATTCATCACTCTGCATATCATCTTCTAAAACTAAGTTGGAACCTTTCCAATGAAATCAATGAGGTTTGAATCTGCCCTTAACAAAGTCTTTTTCCCATGAAAGTTTTTCAAATCCATGATGAAAAAAGACATCTTTTTTTTTAGTACAGTAATTCAAATCCCATTCTAATGAAACGCATGCATTACGAGACATAATAAAAGGTTTGTCATTTCCTGCACACACTTCTAATTTGTCTCCAAACAGAGAAGTTCTTGATTTCCCCATTATCATCACACTTTTCCAGGCTAGGATCCTCTGCAAATTTTATTAATATACTTCTGTCACATTCATGGGGCTGTTAAATAAGACAGAAACACCAGTCCCTGAAGTTCATATGACCTCATATGCTGAGATGTTAATCTTGAAAGTGATTTAACATTTTTGCTATTTTATGCAAATTTCTTAGGAGAAACGGATGTTATCAACTCAATCTTTTACAACCCGCTCCCTTGAATTGCTTTTTACAAGATTCTAAAATGGTAGCATCCATTTCCTACTTCCCTATATTCTCTGCTGCTTTGGATGCTAAAGCATATGTAAGAAATAGATTGCAGCCATTCTTAAATATTCCACACAGGTTGAAACAAAATGATTGACCAGGCATATCGAAAGACTGCAAATCAATTTTTTTTTTAGCTCTCTCTCTATTTCATTTGAATGGTTCTCTGTCCTGCATACAGCTAACAGAGCAAAGCTGAGGTGAGTATGTTAGCACCACCAATTAACACTGCTGTGAATGATCCATTTGCTATAGGATTGTCGCTCTACTTTTTGTATTTCATAGCTATTTGGCCCCATTCTGCCTTCCATCTCCCAGCCACCAATGAGAAGTAAGGCTTCACATACAGTGGTACCTTGGGTTAAATACGCTTCAGGTTACATATGCTTCAGGTTACAGACTCCACTAACCCAGAAATAATACCTTGGTTTAAGAACTTTGCTTCAGGATGAGAACAGAAATCGTGCAGCAGTGGCGCGGCAGCAGCAGGAGGCCCCCATTAGCTAAAGTGGTGCTTCAGGTTAAGAACAGTTTCAGGTTAAGAACAGACCTCCAGAATGAATTAAGTATGTAACCAGAGGTACCACTGTATCTGGTGAAGTTGCCACTGTTTTTTTCTACAACAGACTAACATGGCCACCTCTTTGAAAGCTGCTACAAAGAAAGGGTCACCAAGAAAGACATGGGCATATTTAATACAACTTTATGAGAAAGAGAGTCATAGTGGTCTGGGTTTCTTGTGTGATGATGGCCATATACAGATGGTGCACTAGTGATCAGGATTCCCCTAAATCTACCTGCCATTGTCTTTTGTATATGTGGCCAGAATTATCCTTTTTTAAGGGTTCCTATCAAATTTCAATTGAAATGGAATTTGGGTTAAAATGCATAGTTCTATTATTGCAGATAAGTGGCCAAAGTCTGAATTGTGCGGGCTTTGTTAATTTGGAAGCTGTTCTGTATGTAGGAATACAGGAAGCTGCCTTATATTGAATCACCCCTACTATCCATTTAACTTAGTATTGTCTACACTGACTGGCAGCAGCTCTCCGGATTTTCAGGCAGTAATTTCCTAGCCATACCTAAACTACAGCCCTTCCCTTGATCTCAGGCAGGACCTTTTAAGTCTCAAAAAAACCAATTGCTCATTGAATGGCCCCCCTTTCTTCTTAATGGATATGTGTCAATGTCATTTTTCTTCAGCTGAAGAAAAATTATTTGACAATGTTGATGTTGCCACCTCCATATGTGAGGCCCCCACTGCCCCTCCACAAAATTAAAGAGGACTATAAATGTGCCATGTTTTATGGACCTTTAGGACTGCAACCCTCATGACGTCCTGTCAACAAAACAGTCATGAAAATAATTGGTTGATTAAGAGTGACCCAAGACATTTTGCTGCCTGAGGTGGAGCAGCAAATAAACACACACGCGTCCACACACACACACACACACACACACGGCAAGGTGCATAGCATCTGAGGTGGATTAAGTTATTTTGGTACCCAAGGCAGAAAACTCCTCAAGTGGTTCTCTCCTGCCCTGGCAGAAAAACTGCAAAAATAAGTGACACCCCAAATCAACTCCCTGAGGCAGCAACCTCCCCCTGCCTCATGAAAGGGCCGCTCCTGTCCATAGTATGAGAAACTGAAAAAACACCAAGAATCTGTATCAGGAACAATGAAGTGTACGATCACAGAAAGTATGGCCTCACGAAAGGGAAGCTGGGGAGACGTATGAATGAGAAGTCTGGCTTAAATAAAATGCACACAATACCTCATTAAAAGTGTACTTGCACAGTTCAGGGAATGGCAGTGTATTTTATTGTTCTGTTGAAGTGTTTGATTCTACAGCTGCGATGACAAGCTTTAGCCTTGACAGCGTGTTTTTGTGGGCAGGTCTTTTGTCCTGCTTTGCTTCAGCCTCCTTTCCTTTCTTTCCAGAATCATGCAGCTCAAGGTTAAATGAAGATTGGAAGGCCCAATATAATCAAAAGAAGGGAACCCGAGAGAGTAAGTTAATGTGCCAGCACACTCCATTCGGATGCCATTCCCACAGTGCTCCCCAGGCCTTGTCAAATGAACCGAATCTCAAGCTGGAGGTAGAGGATTCCTGCTGCCCTTCTGCTTTGAGTTTGGAGAGCAACAGGGTGTGCTAATAAAACACCATTTCACAAAGATCAATTCTGTCCTGCTGGTGAGCTGGAGAGAGAAAGAGAGGGAGACAGAGGGAGAAGGGCTGCCCCTGACTCAACTCCTTCTCTGAAAGAGCAGCCCAATTTTATAGCAGCAAGAAGAATCAGGAGCAGGTGTCACACATGCAGAGAGAGGCCTATGAAATGTACCCTTGACAATCCCCTCTTCCCGTTATGTAGAAGGTGAATGAATCAGAAATGATTCACAGCCAGTGGGGTAAGGGATAATGAGATTGTATTAACTGCAGTTGAATCTTTTGTGAGAGAAACATGACCTCAACCACTGCAGCTACCTGGCGCCAGCATACAATATAACCCTCTATTTATTATTATTCCTGTCCCATAGATATGTCCATGTAGAATGAAAGCAACAGGGGAGGCAGGTGTTGTCAGAGCAACAGCAGACCTCAACATCTCCATCTCAAATTCTGCACAGAGTGTATGTGCATGCAGGTTGGAGGACAGGGATGGAGGACCTGACCCAGTTGGCGGAAAAGACAGCGATCGGGTGATGATCATTAGGACTTCAAAGCACCATGCAAGTTTTGCAAAGGGCTCTGCATGATTCTTTGAAGAGCTGCTGATGAGCAGTCTTGAAGTCTGTGCCTATCAGTTCATTGGGTGGCGATTTCAAGCCCACTTTCTGCTGGGGATCGGCTGTGCACCTGAATTCCCTGGTGGCCAAATTAGGCACCATGCTGCGCCAAATTTCACTTGCAGGCTGGAGGTTTTCCCCTTCTTCTGACCTAGAGGAAGGACCCTACCTCAGTGGGAATGGCCATTTTGTTTATGTCAAGCACCTTGTACTTTGATAGGATTATATTTACTCAGCAAATGGTAACTTTGTTTTCTGCCATTTCTGATCCCCTTTTCTCACGTTTTTAGGCATATTGCCACCTTTTTCCTTTTACTTCATAGTGTCTCCATAAGCAGAGACAAAGTTGCTTTGTTCATTACACCACACAGTTTTTAAAATCAAATTTCACATTTTTCTCATGTTAACCTTCAGCTCTGCATTCACAAATGTCTTGCAGAAAGATTCAATTTCCCCCATGTCAGCTCTGTGAGAGGCATCTTGCCTGTATCTGAAGGGTATCATTTACCTTACCTATTTCAACTTCTCCCCTCCTGTTCAGTGGCCTGAGCACCAAGCATCCCTGCTTTTTTAAAAATTCAAATCCCACAGTGACTTGAGAAAAAAGACACCCCATGACATTACTTTGAAACTCAAGCTTCTCTCTTTGAAGTTTTAAATAAGTACGTTTTAAGAGCAGCTGGAATGCTGTATCATAACCCAGTTTGAAAGTATATAAAAACCTGTTCAGCATCTTCAAAAGAATGAAAATGAGAGAAGTATAATCCTGGAATTAATATACTTCCTGTCATAAGCCACTTATGCAAGTTTTCACTCACACAGATTAATGTTTTTCACTGGTATAATTTGGCCACTGTTCAAGAATCTTATACCTTAGACCAGTAGCCTTCAACCTTTTTGAACATGGGAGGGGCTCACCTTTACCCCAAACATACATTTGGGGACCCATTTCTTAAGCATTTTTTTTTACCATATATTATCATGGTGTCAGTGCTGCTCTTGTCACCTGCTTTAGATAAGGCTGGAACCCAACACTGTGCCCTGCTGTCGCAGCAGTTGTAGACCAATAGCAACACACAAACAGACACAACTGTATGCTCCCCCAACAAACACAAACATATTTGCTGCCCTGTTCATATGGCCACCATACAAAGCTCTCATACCTCAGACTAGATTGCAACACCACAAACACACACAGCAGCAACAGACACAGATGCATTTGGTCTCTTGCACAAGTTTTAATTGTGCAAGACAAATAACAGGGAAAACATAGAGTGTTTCTGCTGAACAAGTGTCCTTGCGGGGGCTGCTGTATCATGAAGCCATATGATAAAATTGATTATAAAATTTAAAAATCTAGGGACAGTAAGGTCTCTATCATGTGACTAGTTACTATGTGCACGAACTGCTTGCCACACAGATGCAGTCAGTTAATAGTCCCTGAAAATTCACAATACACGAGGGACATTTCATGTTTGCACTGGCTTACAGTAGTCTCTTTGACATTGAACATGCCCCCTTAAATATCCCTACATTTCAGGACTTGACACCCACTTTCCCTTCACTTCTGAACAGGGGAGAGGGGCATATCCACGCAGGATTACAAACTGTTCTAACCAGCTTGCGGAGACTATCAGAGGTCACAAAGAGAAAGGAAAAATATATGAAAATAGCAACAAGAAATATGGAAAAATAATAAGGACTGGATAGTACTGTGAACATCATAAGGTTAGATTTGTGGACATTAAAACAGCAGTAAGAAGCAAGAAGTTGATTGGATCCCTTCGGAACTTGAAATATGGGTACCCCCAACAAAAATTTAAAATTCGGCTGTGTAATTTGGAATTTATGTAATTTGGTTTGATTTGATGTGATTGGTCGGTTAATAAAAAATTATTCTTAAAAAAAAAAGGGGAGAGGGGCAAATAGCTTATGTCTGTGAGTAAGCAAGGTGGTGGCTGATGTAGGTGCCATTTTTAATTTAGCAGGTGAGTATACCTGTCCCATGATGGATTCCAGGAACCATAGACATAAAACAAAATGCGTGAACTCTTGCACAAAAGCTAGTGGATAGCTTCTCACAGTGCAGCAACATAATGTGTTATGGGGTTATGCGACCATCAAAGAAGCATGTTGAATACGATTGTAGCAAATAAAGAGCAGAGAGCTTGAAAAGAGCTTGTGCAAAGTCTTTCAGACCAATTGAAAACTTACTCTGGATTTGGAATCACCTCTCTAACCCCAAACATCCCTTCTTTAAGCAAAAGAGTGTTTTGTATTTATCATGAAAAATCATAGTGATTTTGAGAAGTTTTGGGAGTTCTTACACTGGGACCTCTAAGTGGTTGTTATGTTTCTATCTTGTTGTTCTATGGAATATACGGTATTATGCTCTCACTGTTGATCATATACTAGGGTGATAACATATGGGAATTTTAATCTATAGATAAGCCTTATTAGTGTCCCATCTGTTGCTGACAAGGTTCCCAACAACCAAAGGACAGGACATAAGTTAATTGTAACACTTTGTAGTTTTTTGTTTTGGCTATTAAATAAAAATTTAGTCATCACTGTGTTCCAGATCAAAAAAGAACCTCTGCCCCTTGGAAGAACAAAGGGGCTTTATGCTAGTGGAAAGGCACCTTTAGATAGAAGCTGTTGAGTGAAAAGTGTCAAAGCTTGACAAAGATACACTGATTTTGCTTCTTCCAACCATTAGCTTATTTGTACTATCAGAAGCTGACGTCTTAGACACTGTCTTCACATTTTCATTTTTCAAATTGCTTGATGACTTTGCCCTGGCATCCTCCAAACTGTTAATTTGCTGGGGATGCTCTGGGGAAATGAGACAGACCATCTCAATGTCTCCAGAACGGATGGCTGACGTGGCAACTGCCCTCAGAATACAATCCAAGAAGCAGCATATACAAACGAAGGTGTTTATCTTTGGGCTTTTAAGGAAGAAAGTAATTAGTGTCAGGTTTCTCGAAAGACTGGGACAGCACAGATATCAAGGGGGGGGGGGGATGAATACATGAAGGTTCAGGCTGTTAGTGGCTGCTAGCCATGAGGCTATTTTCTACCTCCACTGTCAAAGGCAATGTGCATTGAATACTTGTTGCTAAAGAGCAGAAATGGGGAGAGTTCTACTGTGCTCATATCCACTTGTGGGCTTCCCATGGATATCAGGTTAGCCACTGTGTCAACAGGATACTGGATTAGATAGGTCTTTGGCTTGATTCAGCATGGCTCTTCTTATGTTCTTAGATATAGACCCAATATTCTGTTTAGATTTCTTTTTTGGGGGGTGGAGGGGATCCTAGAAAATCTCAATATTGTCATCTGGTGAGAATTCTCACGAGCCACAATTAAAACTTTTTTCTTTATTTTTTTTGGCATCTCTTACTCGTTGGCAGTTTACCCAATATTTTGCAAATATGCAGATAAAGAGCTCATACAGAGCTCACTGATGTGGAAGGCACACCAGCTGACGTAAGAAAGAAATAGAAGTAGACAAGGGCATTTTGTTCTATGACACCAGAAGGAAAAAAAAGACTAGGTTATAGAGCACCTAAGGACATCAATAGCAATGAGAAGAGGGAGCCATGGGTATAATTCATAGTAATAATTCTTTTTACTGCCATAATAATATATATATATATATTGCATT